TTCTCGCGACCCAAGTGGCCGCTGGAGGGCGCGTCATGCGCCTCCGCGAGGATATCGAATTCAGATCCTCGTCGTTGGGTACGACCACCCGTGGAGGATCAGTGGGCTCCACCCGGTAAGAGAGGAGGCCCTCTTTAAACTCATATCGGTGGAGCCGTGAGCGCTGTCGCGACGAGAGCCAGTCGGACTTCGCGCTCGTTCCGGCCATAAGGAACTTGACGATAGGCGCGACAGCCTCATCGTCCCGATACGCCATGCGTATCCAATCATATAGATCCGTTGTCACCCGCGTGATGTGGTCCAACTCATAGTCGGGACGCCGAGAAAGGGCGCCGCAAGCACGTTGAGCTTGCCCGGCTTGTATTCGACGCGAAAGTTGTATTCCGCGAAGAAGGATAGCCACCTCGTCATCCTTTGGGAGAGGTGAGGCGATTTAGTCGCCGTCCTCAAGGACGCGTGGTCTGTGTAGATCACAAAGGGCCTAGAGCCCAGAAGGTGAGCACGAAACTTCACAACGGCATATTTCATTGCCGGGAGCTCCTTGTCGTGGACAGGGTAGTTCTTCTCGGCGGCTTTGAGTTGCCTGGACTGGAGCGAGATGACTCGTTCGCGTCCAGCCGTGTCGGCCTGCAGCAATGCACATCCGATGGCGTAATCGGAGGCATCGCAGACGACGCTAAACGGCTTCGTCTCGTCCGGCAGGGCCAGGACAGGGGCCTCTTGGAGACTGGCCTTGATGCTGTCAAAAGCATCCTGGTGCTCCTGCTCTCAGCGCCAGTCGACGTCCTTCTGAAGGAGGCTCGACAAGGGCTTAGCGAAGCCCGCGTACCCTGCGCTGTACTTGTGAAGATAATTGGCCAAGCCCAACCACTTTCGAAGATCCTTCTGGGATCGGGGCGTCGGCCATGCTGCTATGGCCTTGACCTTGTCTGGGTCATCCCGAACGCCTACGTTGCTTACGAAGCAACCGAAAACTTTAATCTCTGGTGACGCGAAAACGCACTTGTCGATATTGGCGTAGAGCTTGTTCGCTCGCATTACGTCCAACACTCGACGGAGGTGTCCTTGGTGTACCACCATGGCCGTCTTGCCTCCTTCGGCACGGCTATGGACGAATATGTCGTCGAAGTACGTCTGTACGAAGGTACGCAAAGGGCGGAACAATTGCGTCACCAGGCGATTGAGCGTCGCCGGGGCGTTAGACAAGCCCTGCGGCATGACGAGCCACTCCCAAAGCATGCCGCTTGGAGTGCTTACCGCGGTGAGCGGGATGTCGCTCTCTCGTATCAGGATTTGGTAGTATCCGTCTACCAAATCCAGCGCACTGTACAGTACGCTCCCGGCCATGTTGTTCAACAACACATCCTTTCGTGGAATTGGTGTTTGGGCCGGCACCGTTGCGTTGCTCAGCTTGTTATAAGCGTGAACCAGACGCCACTTTCCTTTCGGCTTACGAACGCAGAAAGTCGGCGTCGAGTGCGGGGATTTCGACTCCCGCACCATGCCTGCCTTCGCTTTCGCGGCGAAGAAGGCATCAATGACCTCGCACTGCTCGCGCGGGAGAGGCCATTGCCTCGTGACACAATACTTTGTGCCGGGCACGAGATCAATCTCGTGCCGTACGCCTTGATCCGGTGGGAGTTGGGTCGGTGGGTGTTTGTTCACCACGTCCGCATACTCCGTCACCAAAGGAAAGACCGGATCCTTGGGGTTCTTAAGACTCTCAGAACCCAAGCGCGCCTGACGCTTCTTGTTCAGGTCTTCCAGGACGTTCTCGTCCAAAACAGAGGAGGAGTTCAGCTCCTCCCGAGTGGTCTCAGGTCTTATGAGTACCATCTTAGCAATCTCTCCAGCCTTGAGGTTGGTCAGGAAAGACTCAGCCGTCATTTCCTCGAGGTGCAGTATCTCTGCAACCTCTGGCAACGGTTCCAAGTGGACACCAGATGCCTTGACGGGTAAACCGGCCTCGCCATCGAAGATGTGATAACACTCTTCCACCGGCCTTGTCGGAGGAGCCCGGGCCCTGGACTCCGAGTCGCTTAAGGCGACGTCGATCGGAACGAAGTTCGGATCCGACTTGAGGCGGCGGCGGCGTCGTTGACGACGGCGACCGTGACGTCGGGCTTTTCTGCCCACGTCTAGGGATGTCGGCGCTACGACATCCGAGGCACTCGTGGCCTCATGTGGTACTGTGGTACCCACACAGGAAGCGTGTTCGACGCCTTCCTCTTCAGTTAAGGTCTGGGCGACCGCGTGTGGCACTGTGTTACCCACACAGGAAGCGTATCCGACGTCTTCCTCTTCAGTTAAGTTCTGGGCGACCGTGAGTGGAGCTCTGTTACCCACTCTGAACACGCTGTTCTCAGTGTTCGTGACAGCTGCAGATGTCTGCGGAACTAAGTTACCCGCCTGTGGACCTAAGTTACCCACTTGGCCAGCGCCTCTTCTGGGCGCTGCCACCATCAAAGCATCCTCGGAGTCGTCATATACGTCGACGACTCCCAAGCATCTGCCGAATGCTTGGGTACCCTGGCAGCCCTTGCGGGCGCCCCGGGTCCTGACAGAGTTGGGAACATGACTCACCAATGCTCTGTCGGACTGCGCAGGGCGGCTGGCACCGATTGCCTTGACTCGCCAGTCGATCCAGGGCTCGTGCTTCTCAAGCCAGGGCATGCCCAGGATCATATCATATGGATTCATATCGAGAACAGTGAGCTGTTCGAGGCTGTCAAAGTCTTCAAACTTGACGGACAGATCCACTTGGACGTTGGGGACAGTGACGACCTTCCCTTCGGCCAGTCGCACTGACACCGTCCCGTTGCCCTTGCTTTCTCTCAAAGCATCGGACAACTTGTTGCTGTTGCGAGCAACCGTCTGGCGGCGTGCGAAATTCTTCGACGCCCCAGAATCGATCAAGATTCTAAAGAGGTGATCGTATCCCCGTACACATCCGTGTACTACGAGCAACCGGCCGCTGCTCTTCGCCGATTCGAGAGTGCGAAGACTCTCAGGGGCTAAGTCCCCGTGGTACGCGCCACCCGCACACCCATCACGAAGACTTAGTTCTTCCCCAGTAGGGCGCCCCGCCCCTACTGGTTCCCAGCGTTCCCCTGTCCCCGGGATCCTGGCTTCTGCCAGCGACCCTTGAGGACGGGCTTGGGGAAGGACCGTCTGCGGAGTCTTTCCGCAGGACAGTCGCGCTTGAAGTGGCCCATCTTCCCGCAGCCGAAGCAGCGGATGTCACGCTGTTCGGCGGACCCGAGTTCCATGGGAACTGGTCCGTTGGGGCTTGTTCGGCCGGGAGCCGACAAGGAACTCCCAGGCCATGCTGAGGCCGGCGTACGCGCCTGGCGATGGATGTGCTCTTCTTGAAGAGCCACTTGAATCGCCTCTTCAAGAGTGCTTGACTGCACCCGGAACAACTGAGTGCGTGCGGGGCCCACTCGAAGGCCGTCCATGAACACAGTCATCTTGATGTGTTCGTTGAGTGGGTTTCCCACTAGGGACGCCGTGAGCTCCCGTATCTCTTGCACATACTCGTGCAGCTCGCGCCTCCCTTGTTTACACGCGAGGAAGCGCGAACGCTGGCGGTACTCGTAGTTCGCCGGGAGAAACGCGGATCGGAGCTGTTCGCACAGCTGAGCCCAGGATGTGAAACATCCAGAAGATGCTGCTTCCCGTGTGTACACCCAACTCTTAGCACGGCCGCTAAGGTTGGAGAGCGCAAAAGCAACACGCAGTTGCTCGGTCGAGATCAGAGCCGCGTCCATCGCGAGCTCTAATTCTCGGACCCAGAAGTGAAGGTTCTCGCCACCCTTCCCTTCATACGGCTTAACCTTCAGCCGTATTGGCTTCGGGTGAGGCGGATTTGCTTCCGCCGCCGGAGCCTGCAGGTTCTCCCGCACATGCGCGATGAGGCCCTGCTCGTACGCGTCGAATGCATTGACGCGCTTGAGCTGCTCAGCCGGTGTTGACAGCACCAGGCTCTGCAGGGCCTCCATTCCGAAGATGCCTGCCATCTTCCGAGCCGACTCGAACTGAGAGTTGCTCATATGGGAGAAGTCGTTCCTATCCATGGCAACGAACTTCGGAGAGGTTCAGGTAGTCTACCCGCGGTGGCGTGGATTGACTACCAGTGCTACCAAGTGTGACGGGGTCACACAGCACCTTGCGCTGGAGGAAGTTATCTTCCGAGAGTATACAAACTCTCAGTGAACGGCAGTTGACAGGTCCCCTCTTTATTTAAAGAGAGCGAAGTGACCTAAATAAGGTAGATTGTAAACTGAGTATATTTATAGGTAGGTTAAGTTTGGGTTTAATACAAACTATAAGCTACCTATAGAAATGCAATGTCGTTTGACCAATGGTTGGCTTTGAACGACCTTGGTATCTTGTACCAAATATCCCGGAGTATGACGTGTCATACATTTGAAGTGTGAAGTGTCACTCTTAATGTAACCAGAGTACACTTAGGGCTACGTACCCCGTTACAGAATTAGTAGAGGGCAACTTCAACGTGCTCTCAGGTTTTGCATGTAGCTAGGGAGGCGTTGTGCTGGCAGTCGTTTCACTGCCACTGGCAGTGCCAGCAGTTGCAACCTCGGCGTATCCATGTTCGCGTCGATATGAGGATGCGTAAGTTGTGCGTCACTATGCGCCGCAGGAAAGTAGTGACCCAGGCAAAGTGACCCAATTTGCGCCGAAATAAAAATGTTTACGACCATTTTAGCGGTTTGCAAATTCATGAACAGTAAAGCGAAATCATCTTATTGAGTCAAGCTTTGACTGGCAACCAGCTAGCTGCCGCTAGTAGCGACCCGCTACAGTATTAGCGTTCATATCTCACCGGTACATGTACTACGTCTAGGCATCGCGTGACAAGCCGCATCGCATAATAGATTTTTTTTTTCAGTTCGGATCGAGCAAAATGGGAACAGTACTCAATTGTTCATCGGATTTTTTTTACAAAGTAACTATACCGGTACAGTAATTGTTGTGCCCAGGTTTCGAAGACAAGCGCACTGACAAAGACACGAAGCTGTGCTTCCGTCGATCTCGCCCCTAGTTGCCGCAGTTTCCTCCCTTCCCTGGCCGCATCTGCTCATGGATGAACCCCGCAGCATTCGCGGATTTCTAGGAAGGCGCAAGCACCGCAAGCACAAACGATCGAACGCTAATTCCCTAGACGATCCGCACGCTGCCAGCGCCAGCGCCAGCATCACCAGTAGCCTCACGTCCGACACCACTACCGTAAGTATGGAGGGAATGCTCAAGAAGCGCGTGGCCAAAATGCCGGTGATGCACGATCGTTACTGTGTGGCCACGTGGGAGCTGGACACCCACGACCGCAAGTGTGTCATGTTGCGCAGCTACAAGAGTCGGAAAACCTACGACGCGCACCCAGAGAAGCCTACGAGTGTGCACGAGATCAAGTGCATCAGCGACTGGGACGGGAAGACCGGATTCCACCGCTATCCACACGCTTTCACCATGGAGACACGCGATAAGAAGCTCTTTCAGTGTGTAGCTCCGTGCGCAGCCGACAAGGACAAGTGGCTCGAGCTTATGGCCATCCAATCTGCCTTCAGCAGCTCCCGTGACATGCGTCTGGGCAGCGTTGGTAGTCTTGTACCGCTTCGACGCACGCAGAGCGTCGAGTCTGCGGCCGACAACGGCAAACCCCGAGCCTACACTGGCGCCTCGATGGGGAAAACAAGAGCTGAGAGCGCCGCGAACATCGAACACTCGACCGACTCGGAAGACCAGATCAACTTTCCTGGACACGACGGACTCTTCAGGACCACGTCGGAAGCATCGAGTGACTCGTCGGAGCTGCCTAATGTCGACAAGAGCGAGCCTGCGGACTGGGGGCTGTATGGTGAGGCCACTGGCGAGACCAAGTCCAAGTATGATGTACTGGACGATGCTAAGCCTATTTTTCTCGATAAGGAACTGCTGGGTGCGCGTGGAGAGACCAAGACACTGGCCTCGGACCAATTCTTGTTCGAAGAGGCTGGTGCCAGTCGATTCGGCGCTGTGGTCGTCAAGAAAGCGGCGGAAAGTGACGACGAAGACGCCGAGTTTATCGACGAGAAGTTTGCGGCACGAGAGGCCCAGAAAGAGAATGAGAAAAACATGAAACGCCGCGCGCAGAAGCTCGAGTCCAACCGCGACCTGTACGCTGAGATGGCGGCTGCGAGACTTCACAGCATGCGCAAAGACGCTCGCCACCCGAAGAAGAGCCACAGTCACAGTCGCCCGTCTGCTGGTAGCGACGAGAGTGTCGATGAACCCGACGAAGACCAATCGATGGCCGACGAGGAGGACATAGAGGAAGCGATCGAGCTGGAGGAAATGCACCAGCGTCGTAGCAGTCGCAACCATCGCAGCTCCAAGCGACCTGTTGAGGCAGACGGAGAGGAAGCGATCCAGCTGGAGGAAATGCACCAGCGTCACAGCAACAGTAGCCGTCGCAGCTCCAGGCGAGCTGTTGGTGCAGAAGAAGAGGAAGCGATCGAGCTGGAGGAAATGCACCAGCGCCACAGTAGCCGCAGCCGCCGCAGCTCCAAGAGCCACAGGAAGAGCTTTGTGAGTAGCAGCGAGAACACCAATAGTGTCCATGGCGGGTATGCTAGTGGAGACGACGAAGAGGAGGACGGGGAGGACGCAGTGCCCGGTGCTGATGTTGCCCTAGAGACGACCGAAGCGGAGAGCGCAGAAGCCGAAGAGCTACGGCTGCTGAAGAAGAGATACCGCGCCGAACATCGTGCCAAGAAACGTCTGATAAAGGAAAAGGAAGAGGAGGAACGCACTGCAATGGAGGCGGCTGAGCTCGCCCGTGCCCATCGCGAACAGCAACGTGCTCGTGAGGAGGCAAAATCTCGAGAGGAGCAGGAGAAGCGCGACAAGAAGGAGCGTCGCGAGATGAAAGAGAAGCTGAAACGCGAGAAGGCGAAGCAACGACAGGCTGAAGCTGAGCTCAGGAAATTGGTGGAGCTGAAACAAGCCGAGGAGGAGAGGCGCGAGCGAGAACGCAAGGAGAAGAAGGAAAAAAAGGAGAAGAAGAAGTCCAAGAAGAAAGAAAAGTACACGTCGCCTGCTGAGCGTATCCACAAGAAAGAGGCGCGCGACGCCGAACGTGCGGCTGAGTCTGCTGCTGCCGTCGTGGTAGAAGCTGAGACCTCGAACGCTTTGGTCGTTGTGGAGAAGCCGGTGGAACAGCAATCGACACAACAGGCGCTCGCGGGACTGGAACCTGCTCTTGCACCCGCCCCAAAGGCAACTTCATCGTCCGTTCAGACCGAAACTGTACCAACAGAACAGACAGCACCTGCAGTACCCTTACCTGTCCCAGCTCCGGCCACCGCACCTGTTGCAAGTCCTGTTGTTGTTCCTCAAGTTGCCGCTCCTGCCAGTGCCCCTGCACCTGTTGCCGCTCCTGCTCCTGCTCAGGCGATGCCGATGCCGATGTATCAAATGGTCCCGCCGCCATTCGTGCCAACGTATTCTGTCGGCCCACAGAGCATGCCGGCGTACGGTCTTGCCGCAACCTTTGGTGCGTACCCTCCGCTATACCCTGCTCCGTACAGCTATGGAGGACCCGTGGGACCTCAATCTATGTTCATGCGTCCGAACATGGGCTTCGTGGCCGGACTTAGCGCCATGGGGTCGTTCGGCAAGACCACGGGTCCAGATCCCGCACCTTCCAGCCAGGATTCCATGATCGGCCCGCAACTCCCGACTCCGGAAGAGCGCGCTGCTGCCTCCTTAGCAGGCGCGGGCGCCCCTCCTCCCCCACCACCACCTCCGTCATCGAGCAAGGCTAGCGGTGCCAAGCTGACAAACTTGCCGGAATTGCCTGATGTGATCGAGTTTTAGGAGAGATGTTGCCTGAGTTGCTTAAGTTAATGCAAAACCCTTTTTTGCCATTTTATTTCAAGCTCGTTGACTCATTTTGTCGTGGTGGTTTCGTGCACGCTAGCTCCTTTCAGCCATGCGCGTGATGCCGGCTCCGGCGGCGTCGCGGCGATCCAGTCGCAGCCGCCGGCGCTCGTCAGTAACACGAACGCCAAGTCGGTTGACATCGCTTTTGCTTCGTCAACGCGCTCGTGCGGGTTCATCCGAACGCCTTCTACGCGAGAACCACAACGCGTTTGATCCGAGCTCCCGCTTCATCCGGATCTGTCAACAACTTCGACTTGCTGCGATTCTCTTTGAACTTGTGGCAATTCCATTCCTAGCAGCTTTTCACCCAGAGACGTCGCGCTCTCAACTCATAGCTACGTACGCATGCGAGCTGTTATTCTGCGCCGATATCTACGTCCAGCTCAACACTGGCTACTACGAGAACGGAAATGTATTACGCGATGCCAAGAAAGCACGACGAAAGTATCTCTCATCATCAGCATTTGCAGCGGATTTAGTGGCACTCATTCCGTTGTCACTCTTGTTACCGACAAGTATAACCGGATCACGTTCGATTGCCTTGTTGGAAATGCACAAACTTGTGCGTGTGTGGCGTTTACCAGCTCTCGCGTCGAATCTTGACGACCTCTACGCAAGACATTTCGAGTCACTCAAACTGACGAAAATGCTTGGATTCACGCTGCTTTTGACGCATTTTGTGGCTTGTGGTCGCTTTAGCTTTGGCTACAGTCACCCAGCACCCGGCGAGGAACCAAATCACTGGTTGCCTCACGCACCGCATGATGGACATTACAGCACAAGGAGACAGTACTTGATGTCGCTCTTTTGGGCATTCGGACTACTTACAGGAGCGCTCGAAGGTGAACTCCCCCATTATAATACCGAGTTCGCGTTCACGATCGCTGTGGGGTTATGCGGGCTTACGTTATTTACGTCACTATGCGCAACATTTTTCTTGCTTTCCAAGTGTGAAAGTGGCGACGCGGAGCTGGCTGAGGCGCGAGTGCATCAGTTTCAGCATATTTTGGCTTTCCACAGGGTCCCAGTGCAACTACAGACACAAGCCGTGGACTACCTGCAGCGATATCATACTCAAGCTGAAGCTAATGACCGAGAAGCGGCTCGTCGACTGTGCCCTTCGATATCCGTGGACATCCAGGTGGAGCTTCTTGAAGCCACAGTGGCGTTAGTGCCGGTATTTGCGGGCTGTGATACTCTATTTATTCGAGCGGTGACTCGCTTGTTAGAGCTAATCGCATTGCCGGGGCGGACACCTCTCTTCCGTGCTGGCGATCACGGAGATGCCATGTATATTGTTCACACAGGGGTGCTACACACTGTGGTGAGAGGTGTCAAAGTGCGGGAGTTGCGCAAAGGGAACTTTGTGGGCGAAGTTGCGGTATTTGCTCGACAACCACGCACTGCCACGGTCATTACAGCAACGTATTGCACGTTGTACCGACTATCTAGGATCCATGCTGATAAACTGCTCCAAGGATACCCTCAATACGCTGAAGTGATCAACCAGACTGTAGCTGCAATGCTTCAGAAAAGCAACACCACCGCTGTCGAACCGATAAGGAAAGATTCTGATAATCACTCAATTGACAACTCCAGTCACGAAAAAGAACCCAAGAAGAAAGTGATGTCTTTTGCGCAGCTCATACGGCTCAAGCAGCTTTTACATGCTCGCGTTCTTGCCAGAAAGGCTAGAAACAAAAGCACACTTGCTGACAGTGAAGTTGAAGCTTTATCTGTGAAACAAAATCAAGTTTGGGCAACTCCACCATCCCGACCACACGAAGCCACAAAGGTGTCAAGTTTTCAGGCACCACGACTAGAAGTTCGGGGCGCTTCTGTTGCTGTGCCTGAAGCTTTGATGGGTCCACGACAGCAGTCTCCAATGGGACCGCCTTTACTACAAAATTTCCACAGTCCTAGCTCTCGTCGTGATAGTACCCAGTCGTCACGGGCGCATGCCGCCTCCGTCAAAGTTTTTCCTGCTCTTCAAGACACGTCTGCTGTTGCTATGCCGACTGAACAATCAACAAGACGCAACAGCCAACGCCTTTCGTTTCTTTCTGGTGGATTGGACAGACTCGTGTCACTTCGAGATAATTTTTTTCACGACAACGCAGTCAGGCCGTCCGACGCTATTCAAGGCTTCTATGACCGGATTCCTCACCTTGCTGGGCCTTCAAAGCCACGCTATCGCTGGTGGCACCGCCTCCTCATGAAACGTGGACTCGATGCCGAATCCAACTGGAGGATGATGTGGATTGCTTTGTTAATAGCAGTAAATTGCTACAATTGGGTTCTAATTCCGCTACTGCTTTCGTTTTCCGCTCTCGATGGACTGCGGACGCGCTGGTATCTTGTCATGCTCAACCTTCTCGCTGATTTCGTTCTTTGGATCGACATCTACGTTAATCTGCACTTATCGTTCTCAGTCAACTCTGAAAAGATTTTAGCGATAGCAAGGACCGCCGAGCGTTATGTGTATAGTGGGAAACTCGTCGTTGATGCGTGTTGTGCGTGGCCGTACTGGATATTCACGCCAAGCAAATTCACGCATCCAGTTTTACGCATTCCCAGACTTATCAGTGGATTTCGAATGCGTGGACTTATTGGCGAGGTGGCTGCGTACTTTAGACTGAGCAGTAAGCATAAACTAATGCTGCTTGGAGTGCTCTTCTTGATGCTGTATCATATCGTTGCTTGCTTGTATTTCAGCACCACGTACATCGATGGCTACAGTACCGGAGAAAACCAGTGGCTTCCGTCAGAAGATGTATATCTCCAGCGCTTGAACTCGACGCATTTCCAGACAATTTCAGGAGTCGTTTTAGCCGCCGGCGGAGAGCGTGTCCAGGAGATTCGAGCGGAGCAATATTTTCGGTCGTTATATTACGCAGCAAACGTTCTGGCTGCAGTTGGTCGCATGGTTGAACCCAGTAGCGATACGGAGTACGGCGCTGCGTTAATTTTCATGCTAAGTGGGTTCTTCATCACTGCGATTGTCGTGGACCATGTGCAAAAAGGCTTCACTGCGTCGGCCCTGGAGGAAAAAGAGTTTTTTGCTGCTCGAGCTCGATTTCAGCGCTTTCTCAAGAGACAAAATGCCCCGTTGTCCATTCATGTTCGAGTGAACTCGTTTCTGGATTTCTGGTGGTCTTGTCACCGCGGCGCCATTATCGACGAGTTATTGGAGGATCTTCCTGCCGCCATCAAGCGCGATGTCGTCCACAGTATATGTGCACCAGCAATGGACTCGTTAGAATTGCTTTGTGCCGGTCCGACCGTCTCAACTAGTTCAGAAGCTGATGCCAATCAAGAATCAGTGGGGAAAACTACACGGGAGCAAGTGGAGGATATTTTTCTGGACAATCTGAAGTTTGTGCTGTACGGACAGGGAGAGATCATTTATTGTCGTGGAGATTACGCTGCTGGAATGTTTTTTCTACTGGAAGGTCAAGTGTCGGTAGTACTCGATGGTGAAGTGCCACGGCACGTCCCGCTTGGAGGTTTCTTTGGAACTGCTGCACTTCAGCCATCAGCTCGTGACAGACGGGAGACTCGACGACGCTCTAACGTAGATGGGTTTGCGGGTGTCGGATACGCAGAGCAAGTGACTGCTGTGAGCGGCTGCATTGTTGTGTACATTTCACGTGAACATCTACAAGCGATGCAGAGCGTTTTTCCGGCTCTGCCTGAGAATTTGCGCAAGTTGGAGCAACATTTCCATGAAGCTCGCGTGACACAATCAGCGGATCTACGATCGCTACAACCGCGCGTCGCACTTGGTACTATTGGATTGAATAACCCAACGATGCGTGGTGCGCTGCGCCGCAAGCAAATGACAGGTCTAGTGCAATCTATTGCGAAGAATTTAGAGTGGTGGCAGAGGGGAACGGCTATTGACCCCGACTGGCCATTCGTGGGCATTTGGGAGGCTATAATGCTCATGGCATCAACTGTGCAGGGAACCTCGGTGATGTTTTACATTTGCTTTGGTGCAATTGAGACTTCAAGTGGCCGTGTGTTTGCTGATGCAGCAACTGTCACACTGGAATTATTGTTTGTGCTAGATGCCTATTTGCACTTACGCTTGGGTTTTTACGAATACGGCAATAAGGTTATGGATCTAGCTGTCATTCAACGACGATATCTCCGCTCAATGCACTTCGCGATTGACATGGCAGCGCTCGTACCGCTCTTCATAATAAACTGGTCGTTGCCATCGAGGAATCTCGAAGTGCTAAATGTCAACAAGATATTGAGATACCTCAAAGGTTCTAGTCAATTTCGCACGCTCGAGACAAAGTACGTGAAGCTCACGACGGAGCTTCGACTTCTCAAGCTCGTGTACTATTCGTTTCTTGCTTCGCACATGTTTGGATGCGTTTGGTTCGATTTCGCTGCTCACAAGTCTGGAGTTCATATCGTTATGAGCGGGTCTGCGGATACGTCCTCGCCATCTTTCGGAGCTAGTGTTTGGGGTCCGTATGAATCGCTAGAGTCCGCTTCACGTGGACTCCAATACCTTGCATCGGTTTTCTGGGCTTACGGGCTAATGTCGAACTCGAGTCAAGGTGAACTTCCCAAGACTGTCGGAGAATGTCTTTTCAGCGTGATTACCATGACAACAGGCTTTTTTTTGTTTGCGTACGTGGTTGGCCATATTTCGGATGTGATCGAGTTGCAGGACTCTGAAAATCGCCACTTTGTTGCCAAACTCAGTTCATTGCGGCAACTTTTGCGCCACTTCGACTTGCCGCCTAGGGTTGAAGAGAAATTTAAGAACTATTTCTTCTTCAAACGTTTCCACTCTATCACGCAGGAGCATGTGCTGGAGCGCGTGTTACCTCCGTCACTCGTTGTCGATATGCGTATGTTTCAGTTGCAACCCATGATTGTCAAGGTGGCATTTCTTGTCGGTATGGAGGACTCGGTCACACGGATGCTCGTGTCACTTTTCACTCAAGTTTTGTTCGTTAAGGACGAGTTTATTTGCCACTTCGGTGAGGAGGGAAGCGAGATGTTCTTCATCTATACTGGCGTGCTGGATATATTCATTCCATTCCTGTCGCCTTCAGCATCGACACTTTCTGGTAGCCCCTCGGTTTTCCCGACTTCAGCGACAGGTGGACGGGTAAGCTTGAGTGGGCTGCGCAAAGTTAACGAAATTACAGCTGGGAGCTACTTTGGAGAGGCTGCGCTGTTTACCAACACCCCTCGCAATGCGTATGTGAGAGCAAACACGTCATGTATCCTGTACAAACTATCTCGACATTCCCTTGAACTTGTGTTTCTACGTTATCCCGAATGGCAACAGAAGGTTTTGCATATCGCTAAAATTCAGCAACAACAGCAGCGACTTCAACGTCTTGCTTATGAAGCACAAGCTCCTGATGCAGGAGGTGGAGGTCGACGTCGTGGAATCAAACGTGCAGAGTCCCGCATTGACCTTGCCAATTCGAAAGCAGAAAATATCGAGCTTCTTTTTAACCATCGAAGAGCAGGAAATGGGGCTGAGAATACGCCGCGTCGGATCAATTCCTGGATAACCCGACGGTGGCAAAGACCTCAAGCGACGAATCCTGTAGTCCGTTGGGTAGTTCCACGACTGCGGAGTCTGCAAGCCATTGGGACGCAACTAGCTTATGGATCCGAAATCCAGAGCTCATTTTATCTTCAATGGATGAGGCTAGTATCTATCTGTACGGTATACGTGGCTGTCATGGTACCGTATCGTCTAACTTACGACTCTTTAGACCGATGGAACGTCATCCCGGTATGCCTTCGGGTGTTCGAAGCTTTGTGTGAGGTGGTTTTCTGGGTCGACATTTGGTTTCAATTTCACATGCGTACTAATCAAGCGGCTATGGAGCTGTACGAACAAGACCAACTGGTAGGATACAAGCGTGAACGGCTTGCTTTTGATCTCGCCGCCACCTTCCCACTGGATCACTTTGTTACGAGCTTTCTGAGTGGTTCTAGCCGATTGATGCTGTGGAAATGGCTACGACTCAATCGATGTCTGAAAGTCGCAAACCTTGTGTACTACCGCAATGAAATCACGAGACGCAGCGTGTCGTACGAGCTAAACCGCGCTCAAACACTCTGGCTGTTGTATCTGCTGGCAATGTTTTGGACATCGTGTGCCTATTTTGCTGTATCAATTTACGATGGCTTCGGTACAGAGTGGCAAAATTGGTTGCCATCTTCTGTACTTGAGGCCGAAGACCCATCTCCTGACCTTTTGATGCTCAGACTCTTTCGGGGGTTAGCCTTTGCAGTCACCGTCTTTGTCAAGAAAAGCAGAACATTTGTACCAGCGTCACAGATCAACTTTGCTTTCGCCATCGTCATCTCATTCGTCGGTCAACTCGTTATGGCTCTCATGATTGCCGAAATGGCCAACATTTTTCTGCTGTATATTAATAACGAGGTGCAGTTCCGCAAAAACCACCTAATAGTCGAACGCTCGCTAGCCCGGTGGAAAGTCAGTACAGCATTAAAGCGACGGGCAGATAACTTCCTAACCTCGTGGTGGTCGTCTCATGCGGGTGTTGATTACCAATTGATTTTTGACGAACTTCCTGCTAGTGTGCGCACAGAGGGTGTCCTAGCTATCGTAAAAGAACCGCTGGGTCTATTCGCACATCACGTGTTTAGGCCACTCCTTCATGATGACATGAAAGGCTTAATCGAAGGAGAGGTTAAAACGGAGAGTGCAGTGGTCGAAGAAGCTGGAAATTCGTGCCAACCTGAGCATGGAGTTAAATTTCAGCTAGAGAACCTCACGTACGCAATTGCGAAGTGTCTGCGTTTTGAAGGATACCCCCGGGGTGAGAATGTTATTGTTGAAGGAAGCGTATGCAAGGCCATGTATTTCGTAGTTCGTGGGTATCTGTTGTCAAAGAGTGTGTCGAATCCGGAGATGTATCCGGTCAGCCGCTTTCGAGGTGGTGGATATTTCGGTGAAACTGGTCTACTAGGTCACTCTGTTAGTCTAACGACGGTGACCACCATGCGCGCTTGCGACCTCTTCGTACTGAGCTCGGATCATTTACTCCAGGTACTTCAGTCACACTCATACTTCAGCTTGGTGCTGGCTACTGCACAACTAGCGGTTAACCAGAAGAAGACGGCTGCTGTGTTTGTGGCGAACCGGTTCAAAAGCGATGACTATGACGAGGATATCGAAAGTAGCGACAGCAGTAACGACGATGTCAGTGATGACGATGCGAGTAAGAGTGAAAGTGAGAGCGAACATGATCAGGCATCTGATGGCGCTAAGCTGAGGCGCGCAAGTCAACAACTAAAGCGAACTCTTCAAGGAGCGTCAGAGGAAACAATGCGGATTTGGGAAGAAACATTTGCGTTATTCATGGAGATGCTTGTCCCCAATGGAAGTGTGGAGGCGAAAAACAACTAGAAAGTAATAATATATCCATCGTAAAACTGGATGCATGATGTAAGTGGCCTCGTCTTTTTGTCAATCCGGAATCTGTTTCTATGCCTTTGCGCTATCATAGGAGAGGGGGAGATGATTTCTATCATCACCAAATACTGGAAGAAGGTGGCGCTCATGAACAAGGAGAAGAAGCTAAACACAATCAAGTTCGATGCAAATGATTTGCAGGTCTTCCTGACGGGCAATAACAACTCGCGGACGTCGGAGTGTGATTAATTTGCAAAGCGGGAAAATTTCAGATCGAGTGTAGAGGGGCGTTTGGAGATGCTCCAATGGAAATCGATCCACTTGGTGGTGAGTGTCTCGGAAGCTACAAGCGGAGTTGTGGCTAGTTGTTGAGAACGCGCTGAACACGACGGGGTTGTGCATTTTGGTACGAAGGCAATACGTTGCACACTCACAGTCTATTCGAGAACAGTAAGAGCACCTTTCTCGTCGCTTAGTTTGTAGCGTTTTGATCTATCCGTGTTTCCTTGATCGAAGAGAATGCGTGATGTTCGGGAACTCTCTTTTTACTCCGATTGAATGCTACGTTACAAGTTATCATGTGCCTTAGGTAAACCTAATTGGAAATGCGACGAAGGTGTTTTGCGAACGTGTGGAGTGGAAACGCAAGAAGAGGTTAGAATTTACTACTGCTGTTGCGCAGAAACCGTCGCAAAGTAAGAGATTGCGTCAATGGCTCAAATTCGGTATTCCACTTACTTAAAGCCTTCCCTTCATGTGCACTATTCTTTCAATAAATAGTTTTGCCAAGAGATACCGTAATATTTATTCATCAAGCTCCATCATACCTTCCAGACGCACGAGGATCTTTGTAAGATTGTTCATTTTCGCCTCAAGTCGCTGTTCTGTCTCAATAAGTCGCTCCTGGAAACTCTCCTGCATGTCAAGCAGCCGAAGTAGTAGCTCATTGTCCGGCATAATTAGATGAGAAGTACTACTGGACGCAGATAGATTAGGCTGGCCATTCAGTCCAACTGCGTCAGCACTTGGCCCATTTTGTGGGGACGATGCAATAACTCTGATCGGGATATTAGATCTTGTTTCTGGAGCCACGGAGCTGACGACTGAGGTGGGCGGCCCCGAAATACTCTGACGACGATGATCCATGCTGTTGGTTCGAAGAACCTTACTTTGCAGTAACAATTCTGTTGATGATGCTGACCCCCGACGTTTTGTACTGATGGAGGGCGAGCGATGCAGACCCACAGTAGGAACAGCTAATTGATTCATGAAGGCTCGGTTTTGTAAAACCTCTAGATCATTACGAAACTTTGCCAGTTCATCATCTTCAAGCATGCCACTGTTATCGGTGTCGTAAACGTTAATAACATCGTCAATGTCGAGATGAATTCCTTCCGTCACCGCGTGGAACCTCTCTAAGATTGCTTCGATCTCGTTCCGGCAGATCATACGTTTTCCTTTGAGATAATCCACGTTGCTCTTCATCGTTTCGTGCATAACGGACTTCATGACTTTTTGAAAGTTCGTACCGATGACCGTGATCGGCAGTGCCAGAACCAGCATACCTGTGAGCACAGTGCAACATCCGATGACCTTGCCAAACAAAGTAACTGGAGTCATGTCTCCATAACCCACGGTGGACATTGTCACGATGCACCACCAGAAGGATGTTGCAATGCCTTGGTATGGATTCGGATCCACGCACACGCAAGCATCACTTGCCGAAACTGATGCTACGGCTGCGGCTGCAGATGTAGAAAATGCAACTTCAGCGGTGTCAACATGCCCCGAGGAATCGGCTTTACAATTTCCCATCCATCCATCTGCACGACAACCATCGTCGGTATATTCCGCAAAATAGATGGCAGAAGAGAAAATTATCATGGCGATCGACATGAGGAAGATCAGCATTGTCAAAGGTTTAATACTGATGGAGATCGCTTGTGTGAAGACCTGAATCGCTGATGAGTACCGTGACATCTTCAAGACGCGCGCTACTCGTGTGAGCCGTACTATCCGAATAGCACCGAAAGACCCAGCGTTGTCTACAGCCAAAAGTGACTCCATGTAAAAAGGAAACACTGCTGCAAAGTCTACCCAATTCGCGTAGTCTAGAAACACACACACGGTCAGAAGCAAGACACATTGACTACAGAGAGCATAACGCAGTACCTTGAAGGAAGGCCAATTTGCTAGGGCACACGACAAAGCGTCCAAGCAGTTCGAAAGAGAAAACGCCTGCACATATTGCCTCCAGTGTAGTGAGTACAACCATGTACGGGTCGAAAACTTCCTCCGTTTCAGCGACAAAGACAAACGTAGAAATGATGATGAATCCATATATGCCCAGAGAAAAATAATATGCCGGTGTGGACGATTGAGGGTCTTCAAAAAATTCCCACAATTTGTTCATGCAGCCCCCGGGTTCATCAGCGTTTTCTGCTTGTAGCTCGGAGGCAACTTTCGAGCTATGTCGTGCCGATGCGTCTTTGATCAGATCAGGAATTGGTATACGAGAGCTGCTACGTTCGGTTGACGTCACAATGGTGTCTTCCTCCGGTGTGGGTGCCACAGACAACGATGATCGCCGACTCCGTTGACTCCTCTGTACCTTGTCTGCCTTTGTGCTGAAGAACGACGGGAAGTGGGGATGGACATTAAACAGCCTCGAGGTGTGGAGTGCTGACCGTCGTTTGGCTTCCCGTTCGATCACCTTTGACAGCTTGAGTGCTGTATCCGAGAGTTCCATAGGCACAAAACCGGTGGTCGATTTGTTTTGTTGCTAGCAAATGTAGGTTGATAGCCACGCAACAACAGTGAAACGCGATAAATACTGGCAGAGCTAATGGGGCGGTCACCAGGCCCAATACACGCTACAGGCCCAATTGATTTCCTTTTTCACATTGCAGGCAGTTAGATCCCTAAAAATATGCGCATGGTTTTTGGTCAGAAGCCAAACACCCGTAAATAGCTGGGAGCTGTTACGTGTTGCCAAGTCTGATACCTGTCAAGGTGCTTGTGATCACTCGACGAAAAACACCACGCCTACAGTCACGACTTTTTAGCTGGTAGCGGGTGTTTCCTCTGGCTTCGCTACCTGTTCTGCAGCAGCTGTCTCCGTATTGTTACTAGCCTGAGCAGCGACTCCACCACGCACCGCCTTCGCTAACTCACGTCTGCCTGCACGATCCGTGCGTAAGGCCTCCTCTTCTTTCTCCTTTTTCCATTCCAGGTAGGGCTTCGCAACATAGTCGAACGGAAGCACTTCCATCGTACGCAGCCATTTTGCGTATGTGCGGGTACGCTCTTCGTGCTTCATGATGTGATCGTAGATGACATCGCGTTTGAATTGCTCAACAGCAGCAGCCACGGACGGCTCCTTCAGGTCAAGAGGTGGGTGCGATGTCTGGATCGTATCCTCCATTTTCATGTTGTACACTTCAAAGTGGGCTTGTGCCAGGTACAACCCCACACTGGGCGCCTTGGGCAAGTCCATCTTCGTCAGCTCCATGGCACGCTCAATCGTCGAGGGGTCAGAGACACCCGATACAACCTCCACAGCTGTTCCGATCATCTTGCGGATGTGGTGCAGCAAGAAACTCTGTCCAACAACACGCAGTCGCACCCACTCCATGTCGTTCTGCACAAATGGGCGCTCGGCCTCGAAAGAAATAATAAAGCGGTTTGCCTGAGGATTGGTGGGCTCCATCTTTGACGTAAAGTTGTGGAAGTTGTGTGTGCCCACGTACTGCTTCAGTGTGGCGTTGAGCTGCTCCAATATCTCGTCGCTCAGCCGGAAGGCCTTGTGTGCCTCCAGTGTCGTGTTGTCAATTACCACATTGCTGTCAAAACCCTCTTCAGAGTCCCGGAGGTTGGATGGCCACTGGTTCGTACCTTCAGCCTGTTTTTCCTCGTTCTTCGAGGCAGATGAACGCATTCGTTTGCCGAAGATAAAAGTGGGTGCCAGATACTCGTAGGTACGCTGGTCGCATGTCATCTTAGCGTTGAAGTTTTTCGTGACTGTGACCATGTGCATAACGCGGATGTCCTCCGGTAGCGCAGCGTCCACCTTGGCCATAAAGCCGGCAATGTCGTCGCCCACGTGCAACTTGGCCGTCAGTAACTGACCAGCAGCATGCACACCCTTGTCGGTGCGGGCTGCGCGGCTCCAGCCGATCTTCTGCAAGTAGCCGTAGTTGCTCTCGGCGATTCCACCAGCTTCGAACAGCGCACGTTCCAGCTCTGCTTCGATCGTTTTCACGCCTTCATTCATCTGCATACCACAGTAGTTCTTCCCGCAGAAGGCCACCCATAGGCCGTAGCGGCGTTTGGTCGGCATTGATGGTGCATTTGCTGCAGGAGTCTCAGACGGCTGACGCTGCGCCGCGTAAGATCCAGGGTGAACGGCGTCTGAGCGATCGGCACGGCGGTCCGACTGCGAATCCTTGTCCTGCTGCTGCTCATCGCTGCCCTCGCGACGTGCCTGCTTGTTCTTGCGGCGCACGGCCCAGTGAGTCTTCTTGCGCTTGCCTGCCATGCCTGTTACGGTACGGCGGTGGGTGTTGGTTGGCGCAACCGGTAGTGTCACTACCGGTAGGGCTTTGTCAAAAGCCATATATATGGTTGATGTTTGCCACACTATTCAAGGTCAAAGTTGGTCGGCTCATTCATGATCCACCGCTCAAAGTAGGCGAGATGGTGTCGCCGCGAAGTCTCCAGGCGCTGCGTCGCTCGGTGCATCTGGCCACCAAGTCGCCAGGAAGCCGCCTGTCACCCTTTCAATTGCTGGCACCACAGACTCGCGTTTTCTCACAGGCGCACACACCCTCGCAGGCCGTAGACCCCAAGGACATCCTGAAACCGGAGCTTCCCAAGGATGCCAAGCCGCAGCTGTCACTGGAGCAGGAGCTGCCGGGTCTGCCTCAACTCAAGCCTGCGAGCCAACTAAAGCCCCCGCAGACGGAAATTTCGGTGCTTCCCTCAGATCTGCGTGTTATTTCGCAGGAGACGTACGGCCAGGCAGCCACGCTCGGCATCTTCATCGACGCCGGTAGCCGCTTCGAAGACGACGACAGCATCGGTGTGAGCCACCTACTGGAGCATCTTGGCTTCAAGAGCACCACGTCGCGCTCACATGCGCAGCTGGTTCACGAAATCGAGGACATCGGCGCACTAACAACGTCCTCGTGCGGACGCGAGCAGATCATCTACACAATCGACTTGCTCCGCGACAACGTGGAGAAAGGTTTGGAGCTGCTAGCCGACGCCATTCTCAATGTAGACCTGGTACCCGAGGAGATGGAGGGCATTAAGGCCATCATGCGCATTCAGACGGAGGATCTGATGGAGAATCCGCCCGCCATGCTGCAGGAGTTTATCCACGCTGCTGCATACGGCACCGACTCTCCACTCGGACGACCACTGCAGTGTCCGCTGGATAAGATCGATGCGCTGACTGTGGAAAAGGTCAAGAAGTTCCGTGATGAGCACTTTGTCGCCCAGAAGATGGTCCTTGCTGGCTCCGGTGTGGACCACGCTCGCCTAATCGAGTGCGCAGAGAAGCTTTTTGCGAACGTGCCTGTGGCTCCGGCAGATACGCGAATGGCGACCCCCTCGAGGCCTGAGACGCTTGAGCCGGTGATCTACACGGGAGGACTGTACCCCCTCCCGAACCCGGAATCAGAGTTTTCTTACGCGGCGCTGGCGTTTCCTACGGGTGGCTGGCACGATGAAGACCTAGTTCCTATCTGTGTCCTTCACACACTTCTTGGTGGTGGTGACAGTTTTTCTGCCGGTGGTCCTGGCAAGGGTATGTACTCGCGGCTGTACACGAGCGTTCTGAACCGTTTCTACTGGGTTGAGTCTGCTTTCGCGTTTTCGTCCATCCACGCGGATGTGGGTCTGCTTGGCATCTACGGTGCGTGCATTCCGTCGCACACTAGCAACCTCGTGGCGCTGTTGTGCAACCAGATGCTCAGCGTCGCCAACCGACCTGTCGATGCGATTGAACTTGCTCGTGCGAAGAACCAGCTCAAGTCGTCCGTGCTTATGAACCTCGAGTCTCGTATGATCCTGTATGAAGACATTGGTCGTCAGCTACTAACCTATGGTGAGCGTGAGACGCCCGAATCGGTGTGTGCCAAGATCGACCAGGTTACGGCTGCGGATATCCAGCGAGTCGTGAAGGAGGCGATGCAGAACCCTCCTAGCCTTGTCTATTCAGGCGACATCCCTCAATTCCCGCAGTACCAACAGGTTGTTGCTGGTATCAAGGAAGGACTAAGCGAGTAAGTGTATTCCATTGAAGCAAGACTATCAGGTTGGGTTGCGAGTCTTCATTCGATGAGAGCAAATCAAGAGAGAGTCCTAGACAAGGGAGGATAAAAAACAATAGAAAAGCGTAACACGAAATCCAGCGTGAACCCTTGGTAGCTGTGGAATACCCATTGGTATCTAACGGTGCTTAGTTGCAGCCTCCTCAAGCAGTAAACGAAAACCTCGAAGATACTGCTGACACTGCGCGGCGGTGTCTGTCTGTAGATCCAGAGTGCGGCAAGGATGCACGAACACGAGTGAGAAGCAGCGGGCAGGTGCATCAGGTCGCTGGCGAGCAAAGTTCTCAGTTGTGGCACCCGGTAACACCTCGACCAGGTCGCAAGTGTCAGCTTTAGAGTCAGGTTTTGGTTGACTGAGCGAGCTCTGCGTGACCGACGTTGCAGGTGAGCGCCACGACAACCACTTGCACTGAGCATCTGCATAAACGACTCTCTGGTGGGGCACACCGCGTGTCCCGAACTTGGTTACAACAATGCCGTTTTCTAGTTGTTTCTTGAACTGCACCAGGATCTCCTGTTCTCTCGCTTGAGCTGCCCCACGAGCCCGATTAGCGCTTTCCAATTCTTCCACTGCTGCCTGAAGCCGAATGTTTTCGATACGCTCATCACCGCAGCGCTGCTCAAGCTCGCTTATCTGACGTTTCAAATCGCTTTGCGAAGTGAGTGCTTCCTGCTCCACCTTTTTGCGAATAAGTTCCAGCTCGGCACTAAATGTACCACGCATGTTGCGCTCACGGTTCTGCGCTTCTCTCAACTCTTCGTGCATCGACGCCAGAAGCTGCTTACTCGTGGTGTTTACCAGTTCTAGCGCACAAACTTGTTCTTGCAACTGCTGTAGCTGCTGGTCATGGAATGACAATTCTACCAGCAGTTCATCGCGGTGCTGATTCAGGTCGGTGCTGGTGTCCTTAAGCCTCTCTTGTAGTTGTCGAGATGATGCCGACGATGGGTTTGAGCTCGCTGTTGGTAGAGTTGGTGGAGCGACCGCAGTCACTTCAGTAACGTGTCGAGTTCCCAGTGCTGATGGGGGCATTGAAGCGCGCGAGTTGGCAGCCTCGAGCGCCGCTTGTAGTTCTCGCACCTGCTGGGTCTTGGCTGTATGGGAAGCCCGAAGTGCAGCTAGGACAACATCAACGGCACGATGCGCTCGCTGGGCGTCTACCAGGCGGTCGTGCAACTCGTCTACGTGACTCTGAGTGTCTCGGTATTCTTCTTGCAGCTCCTGCCACTGTAACGCAAGTATTTCTTTCTCATGGCGAAGATGATTCACTTGCTCTCGTCTTTCTTCCGACACAGTCGTCTGCTCTGCAAGTTGTGCCTGGAGATCTATCAACGTGTGCTCTAGTTCCTCTTGGTGGCGTTGCAGTTGTCTCTGCTCGTTTTTCACAGCTTCCAACTCGGCTTGTGTGGCCGTTGACGCCCGCTTGTGTCTCAGTAGGAGCTTGTTCACTGCTACCATATCATCACGTTCGCGCTGCACTTTTTGGGTTTCCTGTAGCAACGCTTCGAGCTGACGAGCTGCTACTTCCTGTTCCCTTTTCACCGCTTCTTCACGTTCCAAATGCAAAGCACTTAGTTGCTCTCTCACGCTACTTAGCTGGTGACTCACTTCAAGATACTCCGTTTTCAAGCTATGCACCAATGCGTCGGAGTTGTCCGCATCAGAACCTGTACTCTCAGGAAGCTGGAGACAGTCGCTTTTGGTTTCGAGGCCAGCTTGACTATCACGACGAGATTTAGGTTTCCCCGGCCCCATCGATAGACTGCTTCTGCGTCGAGTCGGTCGCGTTGAAGCAATACTTCCAAGACTCCTTGACCGCTCCACAAGACTGACATCCACTTGTCCTGAGCTAATATCGGCCAGCGTTAGAGTCAACGCCGGCTTTGCGTCGCGCATCCTAGTAGCGAGCAGCAAAACGAATAAGTTCAATATGACAGAGCCTCGAAATGAAAGATAACAATATCCTTACATTTGAAGAACATCGGCATACGGTATGTTTGCAACATCAACCCCATTTACCATACGCACCCGCAGCTTGTCGACAATGATGTGAGAATAATCCCCCGCTGATCTGCAGCGCGCATTGTAGTCTGCTGCAAGACCCACGGGCGCAACGTCCCGAATGACGCAAGCGTAGCTTTCGGCAGGAACGAGGCTACACTTGTTGCTCTTTGATGCGGGCTGGAATCCAAGACCTACTGGTTTACTGTCGTCAAAGAAAACGTTGAATTCCTTCTCCCACCGACAAACGACTTCACTTTGTTTTGCTCGAAAAGCAGCAACCAGCAGATCATTCCACGCTCGTTCCACTCCAGACCGCCGGCCGTCAGTAGCAGTAGCAGTAGCCTGGCCCTCGTCCGAATCGTGGTTGCCTGAAGGAGCGGTAGTAAGTTCATCACTCCAGGGTGGGCTGCAGAATTTCAGCACCATAACTAACTCCTATGGTTTGTTTCGCTGTTTGCGCTCTGGTAGCTCTGGTACCTGTAGCAGTGTACGCGCGGTTTGCTCTCCAGCTAAAATAGCATAACGTTAAGAAAGTATTGTGGAGCTGTTGCCAAAAGTAACAGTGTGTTATTAAGAAAAATTAACACCGGCAAGAACATGTTTCGGCTTTCGATTTTGTTTGCATATACTGCTTCAGTAACATGATCTTCCAATTGATGTCGCAGTAACTACTACTGGGAAGAGCAGCCAGGAACACGACATAGTGCACCCTCCGAACATGTAGGTGCATGAGCCCGCACAATCACACCCCAGAGCTTACACGCGCCGCACCTGCTCACGTCGTGACTTGTCTTACCCGTCATATTCGAGCGGTGAGCTCTCACCTTACTCACGAATGTGCGTGTGGAAACACACAGTGGATTGGAGCACCCGCTGGCACTGCACGAGGATAAATGCTGTAGCCCACGAAGGATCGACTGCATTTGAGCAGCACCAGGAGTCGTTGTTATTGTCGACTTGGCAGGAGGCATCTTCTTGGCATCAGAGACTTCTCCCACTGAGGTGGGGCTCAGTGATTCACGCCTAAGGCGCTTTGCTGGTGGCTGAGCTGGTAGTTGGTATCGGAGAGACGGCAATGCTGCTGCTTTATTGGTTAAACCCTGTGCTGTCAAGACGGCGATGGAAGAACCGACTGAGGAAGAAAAAGAGGGGAGCGGTGAGAGCGACACGTGATGCGCTGCAAATGCAACGCGAGGCGGCGGCCCACCGTACTCCGACGGGAGCGACTCGCCGCTGAGGCTGCGCTTCCGTGAGATTCCATTAGCGACGATCTGCGAGCGCAAGATGGAGTAGGATGGCGGGCGTGGCAACGATGGCAACGAGTGGGCAGCCGCTGAGCCAAAGGTGTCCCGATCAGTGCCGCCAGTCGTAGGAAGGCTCTGCGTAGTCAAAGAAACCGAGTGAGACGCCTTTTCATGCAGAGTATGTGCGGAGAGGTTCGCACGAACCATTTCAGCTCCATCGGCCACCAGTGGAATGCCCGCCAGTTTCACGACGCGTCAAGACACGGAGAAGAAATTATCAACACAGGAAGAAGACAGCGCGTTGCCAATTGGAGTGCCCGAAGCTCTGTTCTGAGACTTGTGCAACATAGCACCATCACTCACTTGGGGTTAGGGGCAATTACTTAGCCTCACAGGTGGATGACAAATTTCCACAGGATAATGTTCCTCGCACACTCCTTGTGGCTCTGAAAGAAATGGAAAATATGGCTTTTAGATTTAGATTTTGCAATCGATTTATCTTGAATGTGGAGCGTTTTGATTTTTTCTAGCAGCTTAAGTTAAAAAACCTGCTTTTTAGTTAAAAAACCTTACAGCAGATTGAAAACCAAGATTCTAATGATGGTTGTTTATGGCAAAGCTTTCTTAAAATTGGGAAACCAGCCTATTTATGACATACGGTCACAGTGGTAATCAAACCCGATAGGATGCCAATTCGCAACTAAGCGCGAGGTCGGACTGTTGGCTCATGACGGCGCCTTCTTTCTATGACGTGCTGGGCGTGCAGGCGAGCTCAAGCGCCGAAGACGTCCGCCGGGCATACCATCAAGCGGCTCGCAAATATCACCCGGACAAGCGCTCGAATGATGTAAATGCGTACAATACCCACGACGAAGATGAGCAACAGTTCTTGCGCGTCCAGGAGGCCTACGAGACGCTTGGGAACGAGGATCTAAGGCGGGACTACGACACCAAGATGCAACAGGACGAGTTAGTGCGCAAGAGAGAGCAGGAGATAGTGGTCGTGTCCGACGAAATCCCGCTTGTTGATATGCAGCGAGAAATCTTGAAGGGCGAAGATGGCGACGAGGACGAGGTGATCTACACTCACCACTGCCGCTGCGGAGATCTATACGAGATCACACAGGACGAACTGCAGGACGGTGTGGACGTCGTGCCATGCACCGGATGCTCGCTTCATATTCGCGTACTCAAAGAAACTACTGAACACAGGCTTTGAACACCAGCATCCATCCTAGACACTACTAGAATTTACTTGGCGAATACCACTCTGTTCCATCTCAAATCTAACACTTCTCCTTTGCTGACATATTTGTTAAACTAAAGGTGTGATTTAGCTAAACGAGCCCACTACGGAAAGCCCTGCCTTAGCTCTATAAAGCAGTATTTTTTTGGTAGATCATAGTCAAACAGCAGCGAAGTACAGAGCAAAAGAGCGTCATTCGTTTTGACGGGGTGGACGTCTGGTTTCGCAGTGGGCTTCCCAGTGTTGGAAAATTGCGATCGATTTTGTTACGGTCTTACAAGATGTGAAAATAGTTCTTCAAAAGCTGCTGTCTGTGCCGCGTTTGCCTGAAAAACGCTTTTGACCAATTACATCTATGTATTTACAATCTGACAAATTTTAGATCTCGCAAAAGGTGAAAATAAATAAAACAAGGTGTGTAGAAAAGAGTTCATCATAAAATAAAGGCTCTCCCTACAGTCACCAAGTTTTTCGTTAAAGAATGGGCGAAAATGAGGATCATATGGCGAAGACCGCTACCGGTACCAGTGCGGTATTTAGAGAAAAATGTTTAAATTTGCGTGGCACACTCGTTGCGGATCTATTGCTATCGTAGTGTGCACCAGCACTAGATCCACTCATGCTCCTTATACAAAACATATATTCATGCATTCTTGATCAATGTCTGCATCTGCCACTACGCGATCAAATACGTAGGAAAGGTGCTTGAAACGCATGTACGTCAGGTCCTTGGGGTGCAGTTTGTTGCCGCGGGGAAAGGGGATACTCTGGTCGGGCGGAGTAGCTCGAGCGATAGACATGTACTGTTCAAACCAGAGAACAACCAATACTCCACAACTATAACCGTCATCTTGTTGCGAGCCTGGGAAGTTTTTAACTTCCATCGCAGTAGCCATAATCGGTCGAAATCGGCTCTCGAAAATATCCTCCACCCTTCTTGGGAAATCCTCTCTATGAAAAGGGTCATATGTCCATACTGTTTGACGCTCCATGTCAAAGATGATACCACACCAGTGTGGAAACGTCACGTTGATATAAATCGGGCAGCATACAATTCGACTCGCCTGTATTTGGCTGAAGATGCGATCGCTAGTGTCGATAAATCCACTTCTTCTATCCACGTCTGCCATTTGTAAGTAGATGGGGTCGACAACACTCACTATCTTGGGCTGCCACCAGGATAACTTTGTTGCTTCCTCCGCAACACGTTGCGATGCCAGATACACGCATGTATCACTTAACCAACTTTCATCTCCAAATCTAGCGAGCTCCGTAAAATGGATGTCGTGCCCACCATTATGATAGACTGTGTCAACACCCATGTGCGGTATCGTCTTGAGAATCTCTTGCTGTTTCTTGGATTCAGCACCGCGTTCTATCGATAAATTTTTCACAAACTTGATTAGCTTTTGGGCCTTGAGAAGCTTTCTCGATACCTCATGCCACAACTTCATACGCTCGATATCCAGAATAGAAGGGTCCCCACATCTAAAATCGACACTCCAAGCTCTTTTGCTGTAGGGTTCTTGTCACTGAGCAGTTGCTGTCGAATTATCACGTTCTTAGCAGAATCTAAGCACTTGAGTACCAAAGCTTCTGCATCAAACAAAGACGGCGGCAATGTTAGTACGTTTTTGAAGTAGAGACGCAAATCGTTGGTGCCTTTCCCACAATTTCACCAACACTTCACCAAAACCTTGGTGAACAATTTACCAAGCCATAAAAATAGCCTTCATCAGGTTACCTGGTAAAACAAAGCGGACACCTGTCTCTACAACTTGCGTGGGCTTGTCGGCGATCAAGAAAGCTTTGGGTCGCTTAAAAACTGCCGACTCGAGCATAGGTCGGATGGCACGCGTCGTATCACCAATACCAGCAACCGAGAGTTCTTTGGTCTTGACCGCCTCTTCGAAAGACTCCAAGGTAATATCCCCATAAGAGACAAGGTTATCTACAAATAGCATTGTTTCCTCAATTTCTTTCGCCTTCTTCGCCTTCTTGAATTTTGCTTTCTGCTTAGGTCTTCCCGAAGCTCGACTAGCTGGATTCAGACGCACAAGAGCTGCCCTTTTCCCTCCTTTGACCTTTGCTGCTTTTGGTTCCTTTTCGTCGTGGATCGAGCCCTCCATGTCCAACCTCCGTTTGGCTGAGGCTGTTGAATCCACTTTCTTTTTCTTGATGTCATTGACCAGCACTTGTTCGACAAGCACTCCCAAATCCCCACTATTAATGGAAGCCGGAGACGCATTACTTTCTGGGGTAGCTTCGACAGGTCGTTTGGTGTCGATCTCACAAACCCTCTTGGTGGATTCTACACCAGCTAAGACAGCTTCACCAATTTCACCAATCCGTTCGCTATTTTCACCAATATTGCCTTTGTTACCTTGAGAAACTTCACTGTCGGACTTGTTCAGCGTGGGAGGCTGGTTGTTTTTTCTAGCCATACGTTCCAGCTCTGTTAAGTGCTCGCTCCACGTGAGAAAGTCCCTTTTCCCTTTATCTGCGACGCACTCAGCGATTCGCTGGCAAATCGAGAGGATCGCCCGATATTTCTCGTTATGACTCAATGCCCGCTTGTGATGGCCAACGTCAACATCAACACTTCTCACACCATCTGTCGAAAAACTTCCAGGATCATCGCTTCCACTACAGTCTTCACTTTTTGCCCACCGCTCTGGAATGGCGTCAAATGGAATTGCATACCGAAAAGAGTCGTCTTCACGACGCAAGTACATGATGTGTCTGCATGGGAGAAGAAGTGTTTGGTGGAACATGCAACTGCAGGTGCTATCCTCCAAACTCACCTAAGCATAACAACAATATACAGTGTCACATCAGTATAAATATTAAGGAGGGAAAATATTCACTTACCGCATATTGACTGGAAGACGTCTTACTTGTTAAGGTGACAAGAGCAGGTGATGCCTTTTCTGAATCAACTTCGTAATCAGCTTTCATGCTGGCCCTGTACTGCTTCTCAATTAGGTTGCAGGCGTGGTGCGTAGCAATCCTTGCTAAAGTCTGTAAATCCTCATCGTAGTGCTTGTTAAAGCGGAATCCAACGCGTTTGGACTTGTACCGGTACGTGTCTTCAGCAGTTTGTTGTAGGAAGAGAAGGTGGTCTATGCATTCATCCATGGCCATGTGACGTGTAAGGATGTCCTTGGCTGCACCCCAACTGGCTTCCAGCCGGTTGTTTGTGTTGTTATCCAAGTGCGGGATTTTCTCACGTAGAAATGAACACCACAAAGACTTGCAGTTCAACCAATTCGACGTCAGGTAGTCGTAGAACGCAGGTTTATCTTTGCAAAGCGCTTGAATTCCTTGCAAGTAGTGGTCGAATTCTCGTTCGTCATGCGTCCGTACCATAAGTGTAATCAAATTTTTTCACATGCGTTTTATCAAACGACGTGAATCCGTAGACCCTCTTGCTGGTTTCCCGATGCAAGTAGTCAATGACGTGGAAGTGGCAAAGAATCACAGTAGCATCCGGCAACTCCTCCGCTAGCACGTCGATTTCTGTGAAATCTTTCACAATTACCACTTTGACATCTCTCCATGCCGTGTTGTTCTCCTTAAATGCTTGGAGCGCACACTTCATATTCATCTTGATCTCTCCGTCGATCAAAGCGTGCTGCACGAACGACCCACTCCCAAACTTGTCGGTAACCAGAAAACTGAAGAGACGGTATCTGTCAGCATAGTAAAAAAAAATCATTGTTTGGTGATAATTTCACCAAGCATTGGTAATCTTAACACCAAAATTGAACTATAGGTAGATGCCATCGATCTCGCACCTGTTAATGTTAGTTCCATGGGTGGCTTCAATACATAGAGCCTCTGGAAACTTCCTGGCCATCCTCCTCATGTGCGCTGTCTGGAAGGTGATACAGCTTGTGAGTGTTGTTGCAGGATCCCGAAAAAATCTTACTGCGTTCCCCGGTCCCTCTCCAAAGTCCTGCAATAGCTCGGACACTCGAACGTTGTCATCAGATGACGTGTACGTCTCGCGTCGCATCTCGGCAATCATGTTCTCGACATCCTTCGGTTGAAGCGGCTTGCCAGACACTTCTTTGAGGTATCGCAAGATTTTTTTTGCGCTTCAACTCACCTACCAAACTTTAACAGTTAGAACATACCTCAGCAAAATGATTATTAGTAGCAGATAGTTTTACCTTGCCACATTGTCTTGGTAACACGCTTGATTCCTGGTGATTCGATTTTGCGTGTCTCCGCATAGCAGGTGTACTCATCAGGGCCCACGCTCTGATTATGACTCGACTGGTGCTTCGAGATGCGAACAGTGTAGACGCCTTCGTCGCGGTTCAGCACGGCATTCAATCGCGCTTTGCAACCAATTCCACGGACAGTGTGGTTTGTACGATCACCTCTGCCCCGCGGCTTGAAGTTCCACCCATGTGTACAGATAAACGTTCTTGCGTAATACTTGTGGGTATCGTCGAACAAATCCGGTTTTTTGCCAAGTCTAGCAGCACGCTTCTTAGTTTCACGATTCCGGTCACGCACCGAATTACTCGTCCTCAATTTATATACCTGAAAGGTCTCTTTTTGGTATCTACAGAACATATTTTGATTAGAAAGTATGGTAAAATGACAAGAAGCTAATATCTTACCGGTCAAACGCCTCTCCAAAATCTTCCCAGGATTCAAACTCGCCCTCGAAGATAGGTAATGCGATCTCGAGAGTCGTTCTACCCTCAGGAACTGCGTTGCCGGTCGTTTGGGCCATAGGCGAAGACTGGGACGACATGGCAGCTGGAAGCCACGTGTATGGACTGGGGTACGGTAGCGTGTAACTAGTAGACGAGTAGCACGATAGATCGGTGGTGGTGGGGTAGGGGGTCTGAGCGCGTAGTGTAGCCCGTGTAGACAGCGGGGAGAAGCTAAATACTGTGCGGGGCCTGCTTTGCGGGGGTGCTAGAAGAATGAGCGGCGCTGGACGCTCGGCTTTTAAAAAATATGATTTTTGAAATACTGAAATACTGACAATACCGCGGTTAGGTAAGTGGTCGGTATTTGGACGTTTTATGAACGAAAACTTGGTGATCCTAGCCACTTCCTAAAATAAAAGATACTAATTTTGAGTTGGTGGCCCTTCATTTTTTTAAGTGTCTCCTGGCCCTTTTTGCCAAAGGGTCGCAAGGCAATGAGGTTGGAAGCACTCCGTTGCGAATGTGGTGCTTCGAAACTCGGGAGAGTTTGTATGTATCACACGCAATGACAGATTCTAATAGTTTTTGTGCTGTCAAAAAGCACTTATCTATAGTCCTACTAGAAAGATCACAGTAAGTTTTTTCAGCTTCCGCATTAAAAGCATCGATCTTGTACGTTGGTGTGCGGTATTTAGCCGACTGTAGCAAGTTAAACAGACCCAATTCGAGTACGTTCATATCGGGCGACTTAGCTGGCTGGTATTTGATAGCGATGTTGACAACATCAACATTTGTTGTGCCTGCCGTTAGAGCGATCAGACGGCAGCACATCATGCTTATCTGCACAGCTGACACGTATTATGTAGCTGGTAGCCACAAATTAGAAAATAGCAAATCTCTATTCTTAGCCTAATAATAGCCAATGATATCATTTATTTTGTGCGGTCGCTCGTTGCGTTAGATTTGAGATGGATTGTTAGTATAAAGTTTCATTTTAATGCATCTTCAGTGTTGTTGCGCATAAAGGCCCAAAGTCGACGACTTAAAACTCCTTGCCGCGCGGTGCTCCGTGCGATGGGTACCTCTGTGGCGTCTGGATCTGGTGCAGCACACCCAGTCCGATATACGCCAAGAAAACGAACAGGAGACCAAAGAGGAGACCTGCCATGATGTCAGGGGTGATGTTCACATAGTGCGAGAAGCAGAAAGCTTTTCCCGCCGCGTTATACCCGACAAGGTAGCCTGCTTCGCACAACATGGCGGCATCAGCAGTAGAGTTCGTCCTTTTGGTCTTGGTCTGAGCAGCAAGGCGGCGTGGAAGAGAGTCTTGAATATCAACCGCGTTGGCGTCGTTGCCAGTAAAGGCAAAGTCCGTCTTGCCACCCGTAGCAGCGTTGAGGCTTCTAGAGGCTGTCTCGATGGCGGAATCCACGTCGGACAATGACATTGATTCGGGCAGTTGAACGACCAGCAGGTCTGTCTTGCCGTTCGCAAGCAAAGCCTGTCCCTCCGCGGACGTGATAAACACATCCAAGTCCTGAGCCCCCACGATATGAGGCTTGACGCTCGTTATTTCGGGAAGAAGTGGCTTCGATCGAGTAGTGTGTGGAATCACCACCGACGATACAGAGCCCTCAATTGCATTCTGCACATGTGAGCCCGCCCCTCTTGAAAGAAGCGATACATCCTCCGAGGCCAGTGCCGGAAGAAGAAATAAACACATGAGTTCTGCCTGTTGGGAGAAAGATACTTGGGTGCTCAGCACGCCCTGGCATACATTTAAGAGAAGAGCTCATTATTAGTTTGGTGACTGTTTAAAAAAAAACGTTCAGCCGCCAGACCGATGTACCTCTTTGTCAGCACTTGCATCACGGTTCAGTACGCGCCCAACAGCGGACGCCACAGCGGCTTCATCCATCTCGGAGCTCAGGTAGGCGTTCGATCCAGCGAAAATACTGTGCATCACCAATACACGACACCTTTGTAAGATCTTTACGATGTAAATATACATAAGTTTGAGGAGAGGGAAACAAACGCACGGGCGTTGGGACCACATAAATAGCGGAACATGGGGGAGATGGCTGGATACCGATGCGGCTGACGTAGCAGCCGTCAGCCCGCACAGCACGGCGCCCAGCAACGTCTTCATCATCGTTTTATCGCCTCTTCTTCGAAGTTTAGATCACAGTCCGTTTTTTTTGTTTTTATTCACAGGAAAGGTTCCAGTTTCAGTTGTCTCCTGAAGGTCGCATGAATGTCACGCGAAGGAATCGCTCTTAAATGGAAACGATTTGTGGCCCATTTGTAGAAGAATCTCCCAGGTACGACACCCAGCTCTCCTCCCCATGCTCTACATGTGTTACGCCTCCCCTTACTGTGCTAACCGCCGACCTTGTTGCTCTCTGCGCAGTCTATAGAGCCTCCTTCACGCCAAAGATATCGAGCAAAATGTCCTCTATTCTCGCCTCGCTCGACATGAGTCTTGACGACCTGATTGCTCGCAAGAAGACCAAGGCAACCAACCCTGCCTCTCGCCCAGCTAAGGCCAACAAGGAAAAGGAGGTAGCTGGTCCCGTTCGGAGCGGACGCCGACGCAACCGTAACCGTAACCAGCCATACTCGCGATCCGTAAGTGCGCCCGCGACCTGAAGGGCCGCCGCTTCTCGATATATTTTCTCCTCCTTGTCTCTCCTACACAACGAAGGCACACCATCGCCCCCCCCCCTACGTCTGCTAAGGAAAGACAAACAGTGGGTTTTCTCACTGAAGGGGAGCATGGCGCCTGCCTGCCTGGTGATTGGGAGGACGAGCTTTTCGTTGGTGCCGAGATTTTTACACATAAATTTGTCTGCTGCTTCTCCCATGGTATCCCAAAGCGCGGCGGTGACGATGACGACATGGACATCGATCTGGATGATACCCCGGACAGTGGCAACAACCGTGCCGGAAAGAAGCGCTCGGTGGCTGTCAAGAAATCTGGAAAGGGTGGCAAGAAGGGTGGGATCTTCGTACCTATGCATCTTTCACTGCGAACGTTTGGGCGAGGCATTACTGACGCTCGCGCTAATGATTATCCTGACGTGTAGGCGGATCGTCCATCTTGTCACGCCTCGGTGGCAAGGATGCGGCTAGTCCTGGCACTAAAATTCTGGTGAAAAACCTTAAGTTTGACATTCTGGAGGAAGAAGTGCGCGAGCTCTTCGGCACGGTAGGTGAGGTGTCCAAAACTGAGATCGTGTACGACCGCTCTGGCCGCTCGAAGGGCATCGCTCGTGTGTGGTTCGCTCGCCGCTCGGATGCTGACAAGGCCATCAAACAATACGATGGTAGATTTTATCCTTGTTAGTTCTGTCTGCGTATACTCTGACGCTATTGCGGTTTGTGCGCCATTGTAGGTCGCACGCTGGACGGTCAGCCGATGCAGATTGCGCTGGACTCTGACAAGAACGTTCGTAACGGACTCTTCGGCACTGCCCTTCAACGCGACGATAAGGATGTCAAGTTTAAGGTGTCGTTCGGGTAAGAAGAAAGACTGAACTCGTGTCTGGCCTAAAACGGCTAATGAATGTGTTTGCTCCGTCAATAGTGAAGGCAACGACAATGAGCAGTCCAAGGGCCGCCGTAACAAACGCCGTGTGCGCGGCAATGACAGAGGCAGCCAGGGGTACGCTGCAATGATTTTGGCTGTTAGTAGATCAGGCTCTTAAATGTATTTGTACTGTAACACAGTGGTCGTGGCAAGGAATCTGCCCCGTCCAAAACTGCTGAGGATCTGGACAATGAGATGGACACGTACATGAAAGACGCATAAAGGTGAAGACGCGATGCATCCTGCTGGCCGGATGCTTGATGCTCGTTTCCTCCGAGTCTTCGAAAGTTCTACCCTGGCGACTATGCATAGTTGTTTTGCATTTTAACCGGTGCGCGTCGAGTGGGCGTTTGCATTCGCTTTGTTTTCGACAGTGCGAGTGAAATTCCGCCGTGGATTAACGACTTCTTCGCGACACGTGCCCAATTTGAATAAAGCATCTCCATGAGCCTGAAAAATTGACCCCGGCCAAGATATTACTGAAGTAGCGCTTTTTCGCCGCGGAGTGAGCAGCGAACCAAGATGAAATGTTTGTGGTATAGCTCCATTTAAATCGCATAGTCTGCAATTACGTTTTGTGCTCGCTCTACAGGGGGTAACATGTGCACAGTGGTGAGTGTCGTTTACTGCTACATATAGCTATACTACATGAACGTAGTAGTACTACACCTCAGCTAGTACTACTACTAGTACTTCGAACAGCTCAGTGTAATAGAAAGAAATAATAAACTTTGAAGAATTAATATTAATACTACACTACGGAGGCAGAGCTGCACGGCTTGTTGATCAAGGGGATCTTCGCGCTGGGCGCGGTGACGTTTATGGTTACAACGCTCGTCACAGCACCCTACGGCCGCCATGCCCGCCCTGGGTGGGGGGCCAACGCTGGACACGCGACTCGGCTGGGTTATCATGGAGAGCCCGTCGGCCATTTGGTTCGCAGTCGTTTACTTGTGGGGCTCGCGGTTACCCCTCTCATCGCGGCAAGTCTGTGGGAATGTCATTACGTGTACCGTGCCTACGTTTACCCGTTTCTGATTCGTACAAGCAAGGATAAACGAATCCCGGTGACCGTCGTGCTCTCTGGGGATTTCTACAACATGATCAATGCTTACATCAATGCTCGGTACTTAAGTCAGTTCGGCGACTACAGCGGGGACGACCCGTTTGTACGCCCATCATTCTACGCGGGGGTCGCTCTCTTCGTGTTCGGTCTATCGATGAACATTCACTCCGATCTAGTACTAATCAACCTTCGCAAACCCGGGGACAGCGCCTATAAGATCCCATATGGCGGCTTGTTCAAGTACGTGTCGTCGCCCAACTACTTTAGTGAGCTACTGGAATGGATGGGCTGGACCCTGCTGTCCCAGTCACCCGCGGGTCTGTCGTTCGCGGTGTACACCGCCGCAAACCTTGTTCCTCGCGCCCTCAGCAACCACCTTTGGTATCAAGAGAAGTTTCGTGGGGAATACCCGACCAAGCGAAAAGCTTTCTTGCCATTTTTGTGGTGAAAGGCGTCGTTTTGATAAAGCTTTGTCAAAATTACACCCTGTTTTGACATTTTAATGAAAGTAGTGACAAAATAGGGTCCTCAAATAAATCGTGTGAGCCATTGATTGCCGAGCCCCAAACCAGAAATCCTCCGCTGAAGACGAATTGAGCCGCGATGGCTCCGAAAAAAGGGAAAAAGAACTCCAAGAAGAACGCCGTCACGGCTGCTGGCTCGGATGACCTGGATGACCTGCTGAATGAGTTTGCTCCCACGAACACTGCCAAGCAGCAGCCCAACCAGGAGGATGAGAAGGAAGACCAATCGCAGGAGAAGGAGTCGGACGTGGATGCCGCTGCCGCCGCGTACCTGGCGTCTCTTGGTGTGGCTCCTGTCGCCGGAGGTGAGAAGAAGGACGACAAGAAGAAGAAGAAAAAGGGCAAGAAGAAGCCGAATGCCGACGTTAAGAAGGACGACGATAAGAAACCCATGTCGGCTGCAGCCAAGGCCCTGATGGAGCGCCAGACAGCCATTAAGGCCGAGCAGGAGCGTGTCGAGCAGGAGCGTCTGGAGCAGGAGCGCATCGCCGAGGAGGAAGAGGCCAAGCGCCTGGCAGAGATTGAGCGGGAGGAGGAGATCCGACGCAAGAAGAAAGAGGCGCGCGCCGCCAAGATCGAGCGTCAGAAAAAAGAGGGTACGTACATGACCAAGGCTCAAAAGCAGAAGGCGGCCAAAGCCCAGGCTGCTCTCGAGGCCATGCAACAGGCGGGTCTCGTTCCCGATGCTGCTGGCGAGAAGAAGAAGGTTGTGTACTCGGACCACAAGAAGAAAAACAAGAAGAACAACAAGAAGGAGGAGTCCACGAATGAAGAGCCCAAAAAGGTCGAGTCCAAGCCTGTGGAGAAGGAAGAGGACGTGGACGACTGGGAGGCGGCAGAAGATGCCGCTCAGGCGCAGGAGGAGGAGGCGGAGGCCCCCGATGCCTGGGATGACGAGGACTGGGAGACCAGCGATGTTGTGGCCTCGCTGGAGGACAAACTGCTGGAAGTCAAAGAAGAGGATGCCGCTGCCGATAGCGACAGCGAGGGAGACGAGGATCTGCTGGTGCTGGAGCAAAAGAAGGAGCAGGAGCGTCTGCGTCAACAGGGAATCGCTCTGAAGAAGCGCCAGGAGGAGCAGGCCGAGCAGATGCGTCTGGACGCCGAGGAGGAACGTCAGCGCTCCAAGGCAAAGCTCGAGGCTGATCGAAAGAAGAAGGAGGCAGCTGAGCGTCGTCATAAGCGCGAGGCCGCTGCTCGTGCCAACGTGTCCTTGGATAACCTACGATCGCCTATTTGCTGTATCATGGGGCACGTCGATACTGGTAAGACAAAGCTTCTTGACAACATTCGCAAGACCAAGGTGCAGGACGCCGAAGCTGGTGGTATTACTCAACAAATTGGTGCGACTTTCTTCCCTGTGGAGGCTATTAAGCAGAAAACGGCACGCCTTGCCGAGACAATGAAGCTGGAGTACCGCTTGCCTGGTCTCCTCGTGATTGATACGCCCGGTCACGAGTCGTTCACGAATCTGCGTACACGTGGTTCATCGCTCTGTGATATCGCCATTCTGGTGGTGGATATCATGCACGGTCTGGAGCCGCAGACTCTGGAGTCACTGCGTCTGCTGCGTCAGAAGAAGGCCCCGTTTGTGGTGGCCCTTAACAAGATCGATCGTTGTTACGGCTGGAAAACCATGCCCGACATGCCCGTGCAGGAGGCACTGAAGCACCAGAACGAGCACGTTATTCGCGAGTTCGAGGATCGCATGAAGGCGATCATTGTGGAGTTTGCTGAGCAAAAGCTGAATGCTGAGGTGTACTGGCGCAACAAGGACTTGGCCCACACGGTATCTCTCATCCCGACTAGTGCTATCTCAGGTGAAGGTGTGGCGGACCTGTTGATGATGCTGACGCGGTTGACACAGGAGCGCATGGCCAAGTCGCTGGCGTTCGTCGACATCCTGCAGTGTACCGTGCTGGAAGTGAAGGTCATTGAAGGTCTTGGTACAACGATTGATACGATTCTGGTGAACGGTACACTAGAGGAAGGTGCAACCATTGTTGTTTGTACGCTGGACGGACCAGTTGTGACAACGATCCGTTCTTTGCTGACTCCGCACCCTATGAAGGAGATCCGTGTCAAGGGCGAGTACCTTCACCACCAGAAGATGAAGGCCGCTATGGGTGTGAAGATTTGCGCTCAGGGCCTTGAGAAGGCAGTCGCCGGTACGCAGATTTACGTGGTCGGCCCCGATGATGACGTTGAGGAGCTGAAGGATTCCGTCATGTCCGATCTGACGGGTATTCTGGACTCCGTGAAGGCTACCCGCCGCGGTGTCATGGTTCAGGCGTCCACCCTCGGTGCCTTGGAGGCGCTTCTGGAGTTCTTGCGCACGTGTGACCCGCCAATTCCAGTGTCCTGCGTGAACATCGGCCCAGTCCACAAGAAGGACGTCATGCGTGCTTCGGTGCAGCTGGAGCACCAGCCTGAGTTTGCCACCATCCTGGCGTTCGATGTGAAAGTCCACAGTGACGCTACTGAGCTGGCCACAGAGCTTGGGGTGCGCATTTTCACTGCCGATATCATTTACCACCTGTTTGATCAGTTCACGGCGTACATGGACAACTTCCGCATGGCTCGTCGTGAGGAGTTCGCCGAGGTGGCTGTATTCCCGTGTGTGCTGAAGATTCTGCCCAATTGCGTTTTCAACAAGAAAGACCCGATTATTCTTGGTGTGGACGTCGAGGAAGGTATCCTCAAGATCGGTACCCCCCTCGTGGTGCCGTCCGCCGCCGGTTTCCTGGTCGGCAAGGTGGGCTCTATTGAACGTGAGCATAAGGAGGTGGACCGCGCCAAGAAGGGAGCGTCTGTGGCCGTTCGGATAGACAACGAGGGGAGCGTCATGTACGGCCGTCACTTCGACCACAAGGACAAACTGGTGTCGCGTCTGACCCGTCAGAGCATCGACGCACTCAAGGAGAATTTCCGGGAAGACTTGCAGAAGGAGGATTGGCAGCTCGTCATCAAGCTCAAAAAGGTGTTCGATATCATTTAGAAAGCGCAAGTTACGCGCAGGAATAACAGGGAATGTTCGTGCCCAGAGGGTGTCCAGAGGATTTCCTGTTGAAATCAGAGCAGTTTTCCTACCAGCGAGTGCAGTTGTGTCTAGCAATACATGATTTTCGTGCAACACTGTTTTCGTCGACATACATGAGCTCCACGGGATGGAGTTCAGTCTACCTGTACAGGTACGCCATAGGTGAATCAAATCAGCGTCGCATTACCAACCTCCCCGAAGCAGCTCACCGTCAACCAGGGGGTGGAGTGGATGAGCAGGGTGCGTGTGTGCAAGGATTCGCTTAGCCCTATTAGCCCAACGGTAAAATATAAATAAATGCTTATGCGGTTAGGAATGCCCAGGGCAATTTTCAAGCTGTCGTAGGATAACAGGATAAGTCTGGAGACCATTGAAGTCCCGCTTAGTCTTTTTAACAGTTATGAGCAGCGCTGCTGTTTCATACCGATAAGGTATAGCTGAACGGTGGGAGAGCTCAGCTCCGATGCAGGACTCGAAGGTTCAGTGGTTGACCTGGAGTCTCCAGGTCACAGTGGAGATCACTTCCGACTCGATTGTCTTCGCTTGTACATGTAGTCCTCGTGGAACGAAGACCGACAAAGCGGCTTCGAACTGGAGGGCTTTGAAAGCCCTCCAATTCGAATCGGCGCATGCACTTGAGGTGTAGATGAAGTACCGGTAACTGCATCGCCTCATTGTGTTTCGTTGACACAACAGATCAGTTGCAGTAAAATCTCTATACCAAGCTTTTAGTGACTCGTTGCAACTACATTTAGTTGTACGAGTCTTACGAAGACATTAGGTCTGAACGACCTGTTCGCCTGTCGGAGTTGAAGTGGTCACGGTTCTTACCAAAGTTAAAAATATCCAGGTTGTATCGCCGTCGTGATGACGAGCCTATCTGGATTAGGTTCAGGGAGTTATCCTCATGAGTCGTAACAAATTTGCTTGCGGCCAAGCAGCATTGTAGGAGCGCAACGCAGGACAAGGATTGGATCCAAATTGAAGATGAACAGCTGGATTTGCAAAGTCAGTTCGAGACCAAATCTGTTCAGGAGCGACAGCCGAAAGTACATGCGTCAGCAGCTCAGGCCTGAACATTTCAACCAGGCGGCGGGGGATGAAGCAAGCAGATTCTTCTCCAGCCGAACGCGGGGAACCGCGCAGTTCAGCGGCGTTGCGGCCGCGCTGACCTCAAGCGTGAAGCAACGTGCAAAATAGAACTTCCGCGTACGTGGTCTCTTGCTTTTGTGAGTACAGTACCGATATGTGTGTCTGGGTGACCTATCGTCAAAGACACCACGTCATGGTATAATATTCGCGAAGCCAATCGCGGCGGTGGCACGAAGAGCCTCACTTTGAAATTGGATCTCCTTCGAGCAGCTCCTGTCTTTTCAATCAGCGCGCCATGATGCACAGAATGCGGATATCGCCTATGCAACAGTTCAGCGACCCGGGGCGCATTAATGTGGGCGTTGTTGCCTCAAACATTACCTCCAAGCCGAGCACACTGCGTGCGATGCGGGTACCTAAATTCCTACGCAGTTTGTATGACATTCTCCACTACGAGGACCAGTCCATCTTAACGTGGTCCAAGGACGGCACCTACTTCCAGATCTTCGATACCAAGCGACTCGAGATCGTTGTGCTGCCCAAGTACTTCAAGCACGGTAAATTCGCCAGTTTCCAGCGCCAACTGAACAACTTTGGCTTCCGCAAATGGACCAAGACACAGTCCAGCGTCTGTACGTTCAGCCACCACCATCTCGTTCGTTGCCACCCGCAACAGCTGGCTGAGTTCATCAGTCGACGCCCTCCTTCCAACGGCATGCGCTCAGATGTTGACGCCTCGTCGGCTAAGCGTAAGAGGACATTCACGGAATTGATGCGATCCGGAGATACTGGGACTTCCGCTGCCGCGAAGATGATCAAGCGGGAAAACGACAGTTTCAACAGGACGGAAGGCCACGAGCTGGCCATCGCGACGAACTCCCCTCTAGCCAAAGGTGTGCCACGATGGGTGGCAGACCCTGTGGGTTTTTTGAAGGCCAGTGAAGAGAAGAATGCGACGCCCACGAGCACGTCGTCAGAGCAGGCGTTCAATTTCTCGATGGAGGAGCTGCATAACATCATTTTACCTGTGGCGTCCACATCGGAGCGCCAAGACAGCAGGTCGATGGAGAAAATGCTCGAGTTGCGCATGTTGAACGAGTGTTTGGATCTCGGAACGGCTAGTTCATTAAGCACCACTTTGAACCCCGCGGGTGGCGAGCTCTTCCCGTCGTTTCCCTTTTCTTGGGATAGCGACACATTTTTCGCTCCAGTTGGCCGTGCCCACGTCGAGCAGGAGCGCGGTTTGTGGAGATTACATTAACATATAAAAACGTCTTTGGAAAATACTAGTATGTAGGTAGAGCAGCGAGCAAATGTAAAGATTTTGTCCTTGTGATACGCGAGCCACTGCAAATAACACACGCACGAAAAATCATCTCTGGCTGGCAATACTGGTTTTCCTTCCACTGATCTCAACGCTGGATCTTTGCACTCGAATCTCATTCTCCATAACTTTTTTTGTGTTGCTTGACGTCTCTGCTAGTTTTTCTCTTCTTGGCGATGTTCTATTGGAACTCTGCTGCGTCGTAAATACCAGGCAGCATCGTGTTCACCTTCTCAGCGATGGCCATCACAATACCGCTGCAATACCAACAAAGCACACATAAGATGTGTTAGTTCCCAACCACAATGCATGGACACCCGGACGCTTGCACGCCTCCCTACTAAAATAACAGCCACTATAGAGTGCTAGCCCGCACCTTCTGTAAGCTGTGATGCCTTTTGACTTGAGCCAGAACCAAAAGGCGTCACAGTGGGCCGCGCAGTCGATAACACCGTCGTCGTTATCGTCTGAGTTAGCCTAGGATACAATGAAGCAGGCGCGAACGCAGCATCAGCCCCATACCCCCTTTAGGTATTTAATGAAATACAGACCTTAAGCATGAGGAACTTTCCGATGAGCTGGAACGTGTTGGTCACGGCATCCTCACCGTCTTCTGCCTCGCCAAGCTTCGCGACCGCCGCCTTGCCGATGCCCGGCACCTCCGTCAGGTCACCCGTGAGCGGCGCACGCAGGAAGTCGGCCAGAGTGTCCTCTGCGACACGAGACTTTTGGGGGTCGTAGCCGTCAGCCATTGTTTTGCTTGGAGTGTGGTGACTCGCGAACGAAAAAAATCTTATCCTCAAAACCTCCATAATCTTATTTGCGAAGGTATTGCTGCTTCTCATTATACTGAGCTGTACGTTGGTCAGCCAACTCTACATGTAAGCAGTAATCTGAACACCGAGAAGCTTATAGCCTTCAATGTGTTATGCGGATGATCTAGCATCAGATAACTATCCATTTATTTACGATCCCTGTAATCTCGCATTTACTTCTTAAATTACATATATATTTATCAGGTTTTCTTTATTGAGGCAAAATACTGTAGCAAATTTGCGCGAGTTCGCGTTCACTCAAAGAAGCGCTTTTGATTAGAACACACAAAACGATATTAAAAAAATCGCATTTCGTTTTACCCATGCCGACCCACTACAGCACCATCCAACCTGCCAGGACTCAATTCAACAGCTAAAACCCAGTTTGAAACGGACAGACCCACCTTGAGATCTAGATGGCTTCGACATCTACCGTGACCGGCTCAAGATTAATGACAACCAGATTAAAGTTTGTCGCTAGCAACAGAACACCCTCCAGTAATCGTGATTTTGTTATGTATCAAAGCCTAAGCCCATGCCCACTTTCGAATTTGCCTTCAGCTTAAAGTCCTCAGCGACAATGAAGGCCTCGGTCGTCTTCCCCTCTATTATGACTGCTTGTTGTGACCGTCCTCAGCGTTCCTGAAGCACTAGCTGACCAATCCACGGTGGCGAATGGTGTCGACAATTTGCTGCATACTTTGCAGCCTGTGAGCGACGAGAAGGCATCCTGGGCACCGATCCGCGCTCTAGAAACTATGGGCTCGCCTCAGCAGCAAGAAAAACACAACAGCAACAAGCCGAACCACTAAGGCAAGAACGACGACCAGAACGCTGCCCAGCATCGAGCTCTAGGCCTGGCCCCCGTAACGACACTCGCATCAACCACTACGAAGGCCACCCCTTGTACCAAAGCGATTCCAGCACCAACCAAGTCGAACACGGTAGCTCCCTGTCACGCCACACCTGCTATTTTTGGGGTCGTGTACGGGTAGGGCCTGATAATTAGGCCAGGCGGGTTTCCTGACCAAAATGCCAGGCCCTACCAAACACAAGACCAATTGCTAAGCTATGTATTGAAGTGAAAGATTCGAAGCTAAGCAGCTGAGTTAAAATGCTTAGACCACGATGGTCTGCGCGGCACGAGGTTGGTCGGCTTCAGTGTCGCCATCATCGGCATCACTGTCATTGCTGATCACATCTGCGCCCAAATTGGTAGCAGCAGGGTCCTAGTACCCGAGACGTCCTCGTTGTCATCATCACTGTCGACATCTACAGCCTCGTCATCTTCTTCACTGCTCGATTCTTCTTGTTCTGTAGGAAGATCTACAGGGCGAGGAAGTTGGATGGTCTCACGAGTTCTACCACGGGATCGGCGACTACGAATAGCGGCAATATCAGCGACATGGCCTCGCGCTAAAGCCTCAATAGTACCTACAAAGTTTGTAAGACTGGGGTGTGGTGTCGAGAAAGTGGCGTTCAACTCTCTGCTGAACCTCTCTAATGGATTATTCGTTCGAGCAACAAGCCGTTCATTTAGACCGTGGACATTCCATAACTCAGTATCGTAGAGCTCCTGCCAGGTTCTCTTGAAATAGTTCCAAAAGCAACGCCACTTAGAGCGAGCGTAGGGAACACCGTCGCTGCGGCAGCGATCCTTGATTTGACGCTTGACCCACGTAATGCTTCCAACCTCGATCCGGTCCTCCGGCACGACGATTAGCATATCTAGTACAGTAGGGGTCACAGCGATTGATGCAGCTGTGTTCGTTATACCTAACTTGCGCATTTTTACGGCGGACTGCCTGTTTAAAATGGAACAGGCAGCTGATGACTTGTGCGTTCGGGAATTGGACGCCAACCGCGTCGATGAGGGCACTTTCAAAGTCGCAGACAACTTCCGCCGGGTCGAGGTTTTGATCCGTAGCTTGCATGATGAAACGAAGGACGTCGAAATAGGTGTCATTAGTGCGATGGGATGTCAAGACGTAGAACACTGGGCAGTAGTATCCAGTGGACCGATCGAAAACCATGAGAACAACGCATTGCTTGAAGCCACGAGGCACACACCGGAAAGTACCGTCAATAAATATTGATGTACCAACGTACTTAAGCAGCGAAATCAACTCCGGGTGTGCGCAACCGATCATTCGACAGGGGTTTTCGTTGTCATGAAACCCGCTGATGTAGTGAAATTGAAAAAAAGTTGAGCGGTTGCTCTTGGACTTGAGAAAGAGGTGGAAGTTCAACACGACCATGTACATTCCCACCGAAATGACGGTCTCGTACACGATAGACTCGACTGAGAACTTGCTCACGAGACAAACCAACAAGTGCCTGGTTTTGACTGCCGCCGTAGAACTGTTCATCGACTCGACTTCAGATAGTCACTGCCGGGAGCGACATTTCGGTACATGCTAGGTTATCGACTGCGGCTTGCATGTCGGCCACAATGTCTAGAGGCTGGGCAAGAGGTATGCGATCCCTATGCGGTACAAAATTTCTATATTCCATAGACTCCGAAACCAGCTCCACCTTGCCGCTGCATTGTTGCCCTCGATAGTAACTGCAGCGATACACGACCTTACGACGTAAGGACCACGCTTTGGTGTACTGGTAGCCACTGATGTTTATAATGGTTGAAAACAATTATCCATTGCGAACTGCTGATGAGTGCGGGAGGGTCAACCCACCTGCCGGAACGAAGCAGTGTCGTGTGTTACATTGCTACGTGGAGCAACCGTCGACTGAGTTGGCTCGACTAAGTATGCCGCGTCTGGGTCAGGGACGTTGGGGTATACGTCGGCCATGGAAGAAGTTGTGTTCGACTTGTTGGAAAAGAAGAAAGAATGGAAATAGTGCACGGGCTCACATCAGAACAAAATGGTTGTTAAGAAACCCCTTAGAAGTGGTTTCTAGTGTTCGCGGGAGTTTTGAAACAGCCATGGAAGTTGGTAACCAGGCTTGGTTGCACTTGATCCAGGTATCTCTGAATGGCTGCCTTCTAGCATTGTTTTATATAGTTCAGACCAAAATAGCCGACCGCACTAGAACTATTGACGACGAGTGGAAATGGAACCTGACCCAATAATCAGGCCTGACCTGTATACGACCCCGTTAATATTCTACCAGCCGAAGGCAACCCCTTGTCCGGCCAAGACGACTTCAATTGCAGCAAAGTCAAACAGGGTCACTTCTACGATTTCAGATGCACAGAAGACTCGCAATCTACGGGGTGACCAAGCCACGTAGCAGGAATCTCCGCAGGACCACGCTACATGTAGTGGGGGCACTAGCACCACTATTGGTTTTGCTCGAACACTGATATCGCCACTATCGTTACATCGGAGTAGCGATGGTAGGCGCTAAACAGGAACTCCACAGCATTTGATATTGACAATTTCTTCACAATAATAGCATTTTTTTCCAGAAGTATCTTTATTGGCAAAATTACCACTGACAAAAACAAAGTACATGTACAGTATTTCAACGGACACGCTCTTCTCAGCAATCAAGTAGTTTCAAGTAGGTCTCTGTCAGCGGGACAGCGCGTTGAGCCCATATTTCCGTAGTCGCACATACTTTCAAAATACTCTCCAGCTGTCCCAATATTTCCTTCAATATCTCATGGTTCAGCACTTCCCTTGGGCAATGGTAAATCAAATCTGCGAACGTCTTTGTGGCCTCACCAAACGCCATCGTCGTGCGGATGTTAAAACATCCACGAGCGCTAAATTCCAAAATTATAGTGTTTGCTTCTTGAGCAACATCTGAATTTGAAATTTGAGCTCCGAGTTCTAGTCAGCAGAGCTTGAATCACACACGCCGTTCGTGAGACCGATCGGATAGCTTCACTCCCACTCCATGTCTGCTGAAGCTCAGTCACCATCTCTGAGTATTGGGTCATTCGCCAGAGAGCGGCCTTGGAGAAGACTGCAGCTTCATCTGATGGCGAGATGCGCCTGGTCTTAGTTAAAACTGTAGTCAAAGTGGCTTCGTTTTCTTCCATAATTTCAGAATCGAATGTACTGGTTTCTTGCTCACCAAAAATGATTATTTGTCTGATCGCCTCACACAACCTGTCACATGGTAAACGCAGAGTAAGCTTGTGTCAGACCAGTCTCGTATTTTTTTCGACTTACATGTAAACGCGTGCAGGAATTCTCTTCGGGTAAAGTCGCCGAAATTTCTCAAGCATCTCGCATCGAGGCCATCCAATTTGGGGGTGGAAGCTGCATCAAGCACAGTTTCCGTCCAGTTCAATAGAAACCACCAGGCTTTGGTGAATATTTGCCACAGCTTTTCCGTCCACGATTTAAGCCGACGCACTTCATCGCCGTACGAGCACACTATCTCGAGCTTCTCCACCAGCATTACGATGATTTCATACAGCCGCGATACCTCAACTTCTGGCTTTTCACTTTTCTCCACATTTTTAAAATTGTTGCGATACCGTCCACGTAATTTGGGAAGCGATTGTCGACGAAAACCACAAGCGCATTCCGACTTTCAAGTATCGACAACAGGGCGTGTGGACTCGCTTCAATTTTTCATTTAACGTCGCGGATAGCTCTTAAACGCACAATTACCTGCATGATCCATGGATGTTTGAACCGCTTCTTGTCCGGACAGATGGTGATGAACGATACCGAGAGAGCTGCAGCTTTGGAAAAAGCTTTTGTGGTGTCTTTATCAATATCATTACGCGACGCGAGGGAAAGAAAGTGGTCGACAGTCACGCTAAAGTGCCTCGAGATAGTGGCAGTCCATTTGTCCAACACAGCTTTTTTTTTCAGAACTTGCGTTTTGTGACGTCTCCAGACCTTCTTTCGTCTCTCTTGCTGCCGTGAGAAATAGTTGGAGAAGTGTATCCTTCGGTACAGTAGGTAGAGTTTGGTTAAGCGCATCCTCCCTGCCCCGTGCCACACGCTTGCTCGCTCG